TTCCTGCTGGAAAGGGTTGTACTGCAGCTTCTGGGTAACAGTGAGGGCTTGCCACTCTGAAGGCAACCAAGTGGGAAGGACCGGAAATAGCATCGTATACAGAAGGTGAAGCAGAGTGATGGCCACCCAGCTCCGGGATAACCAGGGCACAGCCCTTTGCTGAGGGACCATTCACAGAAGAGTCTAAAGAGCAATCAGAAAATAGGAGGTCCCGGGTTAGTTCCCATTACAGGTAACTTCGGCCATCCTTCTTCTCATTAGGCCTCGCCAAGTTTCTCAGCAGACCAAAGAGCTAACACAGAAAATCCAGCCCCACTGCAACCCACCGTCTCAAGAACGTGCCCTGGGATTCTGAAGGGAGGTTATTCGCACTGGAGCCAGGAATCTCTGCTGCCTGAATTAGATGTGTCCTCCCTTGGGCCTACTAGAGACACATCCACCTGTTTTCCTGGGAGGGCTAGATTGATGAAGAAAGGCAAAAACCCAACTGAGAAGCAGAACTGCGCTCCCATTCTTTCTTCCCTCTTAGCAAATGGGGCCATAACTCCAAGTGAGTGGCACGAGGAGCCTCCGAGCACCAGGCCCACATTCACGGGGCGCCTGCTGCCGGCTGTAAATAACTCGCGTGACTGCACCAGGGACCAAATTGCTCGTTAGCTGCCAACATGAGCTGTTTAATGATCTGAGGAGCAGACGCTGCCAATTTTTGTATTTCCTCTTAAAATATCATTTAAAACTCATACATGTAATTATTATACCTTTTCATTAATTTTTTACGATTCTTCTGAAGCCGATGAGCTGTGGGTTCATTCAACCCATAAAAGTCGGAGAGCTGTCTGAGGTGCTCGTTGGGCACACAACGGGGTTAGAAATCCACAGCTCACCCCGGTGAGAGCCTGGCCACTAGTCCCTGCCCCCCCACTGCTCAGCTAATTGAGCGAACACAACCAAAGAACAACACATCCATGGGTCTCCTTCCCCTGTCTGATCTCGGAGCAGGCTCTCTGCCACCTCGCGGGTACGGCTGTTGTGAAAATCAAGGGAAGTAATGAATACAGACGGATGTTTGAAAGCACAATGCAAATGGTAAGGTAGGATAGAATTTTCAGACTCTTGCTTTCAAGCTACTCATTAGTGGAAACATACAACCCCTAGTGACACCAGAGCAAAGGGGACTGTGAACTCTGGAGAATTCTCCAAGCTCCAGCACCAGATGTTTCCACCGAGCACATTGACTTATCTCATGTGATCACCTCCAGTAACCCTCACCTCCTGCAACCCTCATCTCCAGTAACCCTCACCTCCTGCAACCCTCACCTCCTGCACCCCCACCTTCCAGTAACCCTACCCTCTGGTGGTGCCTGAGGATGTCCCTGCCCTCTCCCCAGCTCAGACACGAGCCTGGCATAGGTGCTCAGAACGCCTGTGGTGGGGAGCCGAGGTAGGCACGGGAGGCCTGTCCTCACCAAGAACTTCACCCTCTGCACTTCCAGTTCGCCCCAGAACTCCATGCCGGCACCTCCAGCTTCCTCCAGTAACCCTCACCTCCTGTGACCCTCACCTCCTGTAACCCTCACCTCCTGCAACCCTCACCTCCAGTAACCCTTACCTCCAGTAACCCTCACCTCCTGTGACCCTCATCTCCTGTAACCCTCACCTCCTGCACCACTCACCTCCAGTAACCCTCACCTCCTGCGACCCTCATCTCCTGTAACCCTCACCTCCTGCGACCCTCACCTCCAGTAACCCTCACCTCCAGTGACCCTTACCTCCAGTGACCCTCACCTCCTGCAACCCTCACCTCTTGTGACCCTCACCTCCTGCAACCCTCACCTCCTGCGACCCTCACCTCTTACAATCCTCACCTCCAGTGACCCTCCCTGAGCATCCACAGATACACGGTACTCTGTGAGCCTCTACCAGAATCCTGCAGCATACAGCACGAGTCTCCAAACTCTTACAGAAAGAAACAGGAACTGGGGATGACCCCACAGCACAGTGCTTAAGCACTATTCATAGAAAGCCAATCCCACATGGCTGACCATAGTTCAAACCCCAGTCCCAGCAGCTTGAAAGACCTGTTGGGTGTAGTGCACGAGTGCCCCAAATCCTGATGGGTAGAGAGATGGAAGGAGAGGATTGTGGGGTGACCACACCACATTGGAGAGGTGTCTTCTCTCTCTGTCTCAAGTGACAGGTCAACTGACAATCAATGATTTTTTTAAGTAAAAGTTTATATGGTTTTGTTTTGTTTTCTGAAAGGAAATAGGAACTGGAAGTCCAAAGCACAGGCCATGACCAACACGTGCTATATGTACGTAATGACCAACGTGTGCTATATGTACGTGTGTATTTTTGAGACTTGGCCATCCCGTTTTAGGGACACCACATTGCCCCCCCCAACTCCACAGGCGCAGTAAGACTTCTCAGAAAAGCGCTGAGACATCCGAGTGTGATGTGAGTAACAGGAGAGTGTAAATCGAGGACAGAGCCCAAGCTGGGGTGGCCTGGGGAGCCCGCCCCCACCTCCTCCAGCCCTGGTTACCTGATACGGCCAGCATTTTGGCTTCCAGCAATGCCAGGAGTTGGGCTTCGACGTCGCCGATTCTCTTCCTGAGAGAGCTGCACAGTCCCTCTCTCGTACACACCTGGAGGAGAACAGCCGTGAAGCAACCTTTACTCAGCTAAGAATCGGGGCAATGGCGTGGTCAGCTTAGAGATGACTGGGTTTGTAAATAATTACAGAGGTGATGAGGAGTGATCGGAGGAGGGGAGGGAGGAGGGAAGAGGGGAGAAGCCAGGCGCTGGCATATACCAAACACCAGTGCTGTGCCCTCCAGCAGATGCAGAGCTAATGTGAGCTGGCAGCACGGGACAGCCACAAACCAGAAGGGCTCATCCCTCCTGCCTCCTCCCCTCTGGGGCCTCGGCTCTCTGCTCCTGTCTGAGACACCCTGGCTCTAGGAGGCGTAGCTGGTTCAAGGCCTGGGGAGAAGAAAGGCCTTGCCCAGCACCTACCCAGCTGGCTCTCGCCCCCTGCCCTTCGCCCTGCTTGGCGTTCTCCGCCATGTCCTCTCTGACACGTGGCTTGTCTTTGTGCTCTCTCGCGTTCTCTCAGTCTGCTGAGATGCAGGCTCCATGTGGTCGGGGACTCTGCTCCGTGCCTGGCACACAGCAGGAGTAACCAGTCGTGGCCAGCAGAGAGCAAGGCAGGGGCAGGCGGGCTGAATCCCACTACCAGAAAATGCAGCCTCAGGAAACTCGGAAGGCAGATCCCTGCTGGCAGTGGGATTTGGAAAACAGATGAGTAACTAACTAGTGAGGTCTACGAGTTTGTCGTTTATTTTCTCATGACATTTCCTGCATTTTTCTTCACCTTTTCAAAAAACAGTAAAAATCTGAATTTCCTTTTCCAAATACCTTCATGTTATCTTTTATTTTGTTTGAGGCTAAAACATTACAATGCTTTTGTTTCCTTTAAGGCTAAAACTTCATATTCATCCATTATCCATACTTGGGTTAATGAGTTACCCCAAAAATTTCCAACACAACAACAGCACGAGGCACAAATTCAACAAGAACAAGTACGACTGCACAGACACGTCGGGGTGACCCACGAGGAGGGATAGAAACATCCCGCCTACCTTGTCCAAAATCTGAGATTCTATTTGAAAATGAAAAGTAGCCCAGTTGGGTTCACAGATCCATCCCAGAGAGCATACACAGTTTAATTTCCCCAGAAGATTCTAGGTCTTCCCAGTTATCGGTACAAGTTGCCCTCATCTCAGACAGAATTGGGATGACTTTTAGAATCAAAGCAGACCTTGCCCGTCCTGCCTCACGTCTCCCACTCTCCCCTCAGAGGTACCCATGTCCACCTCCAACAGCTCTTTATGAAACCCGCTGTCTGGGTGGAGAGGACAGTTTGCCAGATTACGCACCAACAGCTGCACCATGGAGCTGAGTGTGGCGTCTGTGAGGTGCTTCATTGCAGACCCTGTCAACAGCCCTGAGGTCTACCCGCTGTCAGCCTCAGGGGTGAAGAGGACGATGTCCTGGCCACCTTCACTCAGTGTTACGTCTGAGGTTGGCTCGATGCCCCGTGGGCACATTCCACCCCATCCATCAAAGAGCGCCACCAGAAGTCTGAGGACACCCAGCTAGCACCATAATGCCAGCCATGACGCCCACATCCCAACCACTCTGCATCCACCAATTCTGGTTTTAGCAAATAGTGCCCATTAATCAGAACTGGGCCAGCTTCTCCTTTGCTGAGCAAATCTACCCTTCATGCTGTCACTGTTAATATGAAACAGCTTCCCAAACCTTATTAAATCGCAATGTACGTTCTTTTGGGCTCTGCTGGGTGAGATTGAACATCTAGAAATCTCCAGGGGCCCCATTTACTCCAGCCGCCGCCTCCCTTCCATCTCACTTATCCCTTAATTACTTTTGGTTTGGGTGACCCGTAAGTAATCAGTGCAAGGACGGCTCCCTCCCTCTGAGGGAGGAACGCAAGGACCATCAAGCCAAATGGGGATCATATTCCAGAAGGACACCGTGTCGGCCGAGATTCTACCTCCTGGTCATCGGTCACTCCAGTCAAGGCGAGAAAGGCATTTTGTGTGACAGGACAGTTTTAATTCTATGTAGCTAATATCAGCCCTCGCCACATACACACACCTACAAACATGCACCTGTTCATGCCTGCCCACCTGTACACACATGCACCTCCCCCAAATAGCTAATGGCCAGAGGGCACGTGCACTTACAAAAGAGAGATCGAGAGACAAAGAGATAGAAAGAGAGCAAACCCCAGTGGGGTTGATTACTGCGATCCCTTCTCCTCTATTTCTCCATCCTGTCAGGATTTGGGGGCCCACACGCACACCAAACTGGAGTGCTTATTGAGCTGCCAGACCCAGGATTCAAACTGTAGTCGGCCATGTGGAATCCAGCCTCCTCAGCCACTAGGCTACAGGGCTGGACCCCTCCTTTTTATTGACAGATAAAATTAGACCCTAGGAACTCATTCTTGAATTTACATTTTAAAATCTAATATATGAGTTCCTTAATTTATGAAAAAGTAAGATATTTATGAGTTTTAATAAATGTATTAGAGAAGGTATGTGTGATGGTTTGAATGTTTGTATACCCCTAAAATTCATGATAAAATCCAAACACTTACTGAAATGGGATTAGGAAGTGGAGCCTTGGGGAGGCGACTAAGTCAGGAGGGTGGAGCCTCATGAAGGGAACTCTGCCTTACGACAGAGGCCCCAGAGCCTGCGTGAACGGCTAATTAGTGCCATCCTGAAAGCTTTCCAGCAGGGGCATTCAATGGGCCGTACCTGCAGCCCCTAAGTCGACAGCTCCCTCCAAAGCAAAGGCCAAACCAGCCTGTCACTGAGCGGACCCCAGCCAGGACCTCCACCCCACAGCAGCCTCCACCCTGGCTCGTGGGCAGCCTGCAAGTGGTTCGGCAAAGTCTGTGCTTCTGAAGTCCAGGTGTTCTATGATCTGGACATGAAATTAAGTCGAAAGAAAACACCACAGTTTTTTTGGAAAGTGGGAAAATAAAGGTACTTACCTTCACAGTGATTTCTTTAAGTGATAACTTGAGGAATTTTATTCTTTCCCGGAGGCTGGAAGAATTAAAAAGAGGACTTTGGTCTTCTTGGTAAGCACAGTTCCACGCACCGTACCACCCATAGCAGCAAGTCAGACAGAGGCCTTTCCACGGCCCCGGGCTAAGGGAGAGCAGGAGGAGAGGGCACGCCGTCGCTCCCTGAGACTGCATTATTGTGCTGCTGGGAGGCAGACCCCTCCTCCAGGCCCTGCTCTACAGAGGCTGGTACCCATGTGCACCGCTCACAGAGCGCACACCTACCGACAGTGGGAAGAGCAGCCCCAGTGCTCCTGGCCGCATTCCTACAGCACCCTCCTGCAGGCTGGTCCGCAGGGCACGCCCAGCAAGTGCCCTAATGCAGCAAGTACCTCCGCGTGGGCGCGGAAGCGAGCCTGCAGGAGAGGCACACAGCGCAGTGTGCTCAGTCAGCACCCCTCACTCCTCAGGCTCCGCTGGCTCCTTTTCTCCTTGGCCCCTCTGCCCGTGCACATTCTCTTATTCACGTCCTTTCTGTCTCCGTCACTGGAGTGTGAGTGACTGTCTGTGTTCACTCCTATAACCCTGGTGCCCAGAACAAAACCCCGAGATTATCAGCAGACATTACGAAAACCTCCATGAAAGGAATGACTCCACACAACTAAACCACGACCTTGTTCTCACGGCCGCCACCGAATGGAGAAGGAACACCAAGCAGAATATCCAGCAAGATGAAAAAGTGACCCGAAGGGACCAGGAACCAGTGCTAGGTGGAAGAGGCTCCATAGGAACTATTCCAGGCAGAGAAATGTCTCCAGGTGAGTCACGGGAGGGAGAACTTGCCATCAGTCGGAAGCCAGGGGCTGCTGGGACAGCTTGCCCAGAGAGGGGGAAGTGAACGGGGGCGCGTCGGACGGGGCCTGGGCTGTTCTGGCTCCTCTCCTGCAGCAGCCCAAGGATCCATGCAGCTGTCCCAACCGAAGACCTTCCCTGGGCAGAAATGCGCTGCCCCTTGCTGGGCTCATGGGAGTCCTTTCAACTAATCAATTTTTAATAAATGGTTTACCACGTAATTGAACCTATATGAGCACTTAATAGTGTATTATAAATAGTTGCTCCCAACCACACACGAATACCAGTTCATGCATTAACAACTAAGACAGGTAGATGGCCGGTCCTCTCGCTGACACCGAACATCCAGCCCACTAGGATGGCCGTGCCTCTGGCAATGCCCACCACGCTTGAAACTCGGTCAAGCACCTTCTCTGCAGGGCTGACACGGTTCACCGCCTTGGCTCAGATCCGGCTTCAGCCCAGGAAAAGTCTCCTCTCAAATATCCATGTTCGAGGACAGAGGCAGCAATGCAGAGAATCAAATCCATTGTTTTACATTGGATTTGACTTATATTTAATTTACTTCATTTATGCTATATTACTTTCTGCAATAGATTTACCTTCCTAATTACGTTTTTCTCAGACTAGTATTAACATCAGCTGCACCCCTGGGTACACACAGAATGAAAGTGATGGGGGCAGAGGATATGAATAATCTATAACTATGCTAGCGGTTTTAAGCTATGTTTAGTAGCAGAACTCTTGAACAAAATTTTATACAGAACTGTGACATATGGTGTAGGTAATGGGGCCTCTGTGCTGACTGAAGTGGGGTGTCCGGCCCCGGTACCAACGATGTCACACTAAACGCACATATACGATGGCCCTGCCACCAGGGACGCTGTTGTCCCTGAGCCGTAATTCCAGGGAAGGGGTACAAATCAGAAACCACCGAATGACAACAGCTCACTGCCGGCAAACCTTGCAGGCAGCAGAGCCATTAAACCCGTCTCGAGCTTGCGTGCCGCTCATGACAAACAGCAGCTGCCCTGCCTGGACACACGGACGCCGTCCTCGCAAATCGGTGGGTACGTTTCCACAAACACGCCAGCCCTGATTTACTCAGATGAATTCCTTCTTTGACACTCGCACGAGCTGTCGCGGTAACCATGGAGTCGGATACCCAATGAACGCACACTGTGTACCAAGCCCTCTTGGATACGAGGGGCTTCAAACAGTTTGTGGGAAACGCACATAATAAAAAATCTATGCATGATTTCAGAATATTTTGCACCAAAATAAATTCATACTTTAATTCCATTTTTCATAAGCTTTTTGAAGTCCCCTCATAGTCTTTGCATAGATGAAGTTTCTGTTCTTACTGTAACTGCATGAAGTATGAACTGTAGTTATTCACATTTTCAGACAAGAAAACTTAGGCAATGAGACTAAGAGAGAGTTAAGCGACTTGCCCGGGGTTTCCCAGCCGGGAACGAGGGGAGCCTTGCCAGTAACCGGGCTGTCTAGCTACCGCCTGCCCGAGCCTCTGCATTAGGCTACCCCTCCTGAAAGCCGAGAGCCTGCGTGGAATGTGCCGCCATCGCCAGACTGATTCTGAATTCCATTTCAGAACTGTGTTACACTGGCACCAGTAGATGGCGCAATGGTTACGTCACTGGACTCCCACACAAGTTGACCAAGGTTTGAGCCCCGGACCTGGTGGCTTAAAACTCAGTCCAGGCTCAAGTGTGTGCATGCTCAAAATCCCAAGAGAAGAATGGAGAAGAAGGGATTGCACCGTGGCCATCCCCCTTAGGGAGTGATTTCTCATTTTCTCTCTGTCTCTCTGGCAAGCGCACATGCCCTATAGCAGAAATCTCTCTGTCTCTAAAATAAAAAGAGCCGTGCCACGTGTGCAGTGCAGTCAGTGTCATTGTGTGTAAGTACACCTCATTCTTGGCTCACGAACTTGTGCTCAAATCACGTGACCCAAATTCACCCTCAGTGGCTGGGACTTTCCCATGCTGAGACTATGGACAAGGACGTGCTTCCAGGCTGGCGCTGGCAATAGCAAGAGGAACTGAGTGCAGAGATTCCTGTTTTGGGGTGAACAGTGCCCCCCAAATCCACTTCACAGTCCTACCCCCGGGCTTCTGGGTGTGACCGTGCAGGAACAGCGTCTTCTGAGAAGTAGTGAAGTTACAGTGAAGTCGTGAGCACAGTCCCCTGTCCAGTACGCCTGGCACCCCTTACAGCGAGAGGAGGTCAGGGCAGAGGCAGAGGGACGACCGCACGAGGACACGGAGGGAAGGTCTCACCTGCAAGCCCAGGAGAAAGGCCTCAGAGGAAACTAGCCCTGCCAACACCTTGACCTTAGAGTTTCAGCCTCCAGCACCGTGGGAAAAGCAATGTCTGTGCTTATGTCTTTTCCTTCTCCCACTAGAAAGGGAGCTTGTGGGGCTAGCAGGTGGGGTAGCAGGTGCATCACTGGACTCCCACACGGCCAGCTGAGGCTTGAGTCCTGGACCCAGTGGCTTGAAACTCACATTGGGTGTATGTGCATGTGTGCCCAAGGTCACAGGAGGAGAATGGAGAAGGGACTGCGGCGTGGCCATCCCCCACTTCCCTCTCACTGTCTCTGTTTCTCTCTCTCCAGTGAGCCTATGCACCCTAAGGCAAAAACCTCTCTAGAAAGAATAAATAAATAAAAGAAAGTGAGGTCCGTGAGGACAAGGAGCCTCATTAGCAAAGGCACTGGGCCCACAGGAGGTGCCTAGTCAGTACCAGATACACGAGTGACACTCAGTCTGGTCTTTCTAAGAAACAAGTGGGATGAGTGGGACACCCTCGCCTGTTAGAAACCCCCTCCGGCCACAGGGTGGTAATGCTCTGCTTGCATCCCTGTCCACCCCGCCTGGCTGGCAGGGATTAGAGGCTCAGCTGCCCTTTGCCTGGCGGTGGTCAGGGGTGAGGGATGGAGCTTTGCTTGAGAGAGAAAGACAAGGTCAAAAACACTGGGCCAGTGAACCAGCAGTTAGCATAATGGCTATGTCGATGGACTCCCACCTAGTCAACCACGGTTCGCGTCCCAGACCCGGTGGCTTAAAACTCATGCCAGGCGTGTGTGCGTGCGTGCCCAAGATCCCGAGAGGAGAATGGAGGAGAAGGGATTGCGGCGTGCCCATCCCCCCTGGGGGGGCGATTTCTCGCTTTCTGTCTCTATGTCTCTCTCTGTCTGTCTGGCAAGCGCACGTGCCCTATAGCGAAAACCTCTCAAAAAACAAAAAACATTGGACCAGTCAGGAGGCGCGGTGGTTCTGGTGGCTGGATCCCACATAGCCAGCTGCACGGTTAAATCCTGAGAGGACAGAGGACAAGGAATGCAGGATGGCCACCCCCCACCCAGGGGGTGATTTCTCACTATCCACCTCTCTCTGTGTCCCCCACCTCCCCCCTCATCAAGCCCGCAAACCCTACAGCGAAACTGAAAGAAAAGAAACACAGCCGGTCAACTCGGGAAGCTCCCATCTTTCTGCTTCCCGCCCCTTGGAGGTCTGCTCTCCTCCAAGTAGCTCCTGCTTTTCATGAACTGTGCTAAGGCCTGAACTCAGCACCCCTGCCCCAAATTCTGCATCAAAGTCCTACCTCTCCCCACCTCAGAAGAAAGCTGCATTTGGAAACGGGGTCCCTGCAAAGGAAATTCGTTAAGACAAGCCTGTCGGCTGGGCCTGCTCCTACCTCACTGGCCCCTCAGGAGGGACTGTGGGCTCAGAGACAAGCATCGAGGGAAGACAGAGGGGGAAGGCTCAAAGGAAACAGCATCTGCAAGCCGCAGAGAGAGGCGAGACACCACCTCCCTGAAAGCCCTTCGAGGGACCCAACCTGCAGACATCTCATCCCTGGGGCTCCACGTCACGTCTGGCTTCTGCGTCTACGTCTGCAACCCTGCCTCCTTAGGGCAGCAAGCTCATAAGACAGGCCCGGGAAGGGGGGCCAGGGCCTTGCAATGACAAGAGCCAGAAGCTGGATGCAAGGTCCAGGCCTGGGCAAGGGACCCGGGGCTCTCCTGGAGCTCCCCAGCCACGAGCGCTCACGGCTGCAGCGCTGCTGGCCAAAGTGCAGCTCACACAGCTCAGCGTGCTCCGCTCACGGCCTGGCTGAGCTCCCTCCGTGCATGGCTGGGTGGACACCTATGGGTTAGAGAAG